TGGCCAAAAAATAATTTTTAAAAATATATAAATATATTAAATATTAATTAATCCTTTAAGTTTAAATTCATTTTATATTAAAATATCATATATTTAAATATATTATAATAAAGGTTTTCTTAAATAGATAAAAATGTTTACATTGTTATATTTTTATTATTTTTAATCTATAAAATATCAGAAAATAATATTTAAACTATATGTTAAATTTTATTTTTAAACTTTAAGGTGACAATTTTTTTAAAAAATACGAGTCTTCTACCTTTTTAAAAAATAATTAATTTTTTAGATTTTATATTTTTTAAAAAAATAATTAATTTTAAAGTAAAAAATTAAAAAGAAATTTAACAATTAAAATATTTGGCTGAGCCCAAAAAGATTAGAGCTGATCGGTTCTTGACTTCTTGTTATACACATGGATGTGCATAGGAATGGCATGATAAATCAAAATATGCAACTTCATGTTTGACTTTTAAACGACTGTAAAGTGTTGCTTGGCATTTGTCCTTGTTCAATTAAAATGATGAAAAGTTCATTTTTTTAAAAAATGAGTTTTGTATTTAGGACGATGAGAAATAACTTTCAATATATATATATATATATATATTTAAATAGTAACGGAGAAAAGGGAGTATAATTAAACTAGAAATTAAATTCACAAACTTGACTGAATCATTTCTTAAAATTGTTTTTGGCCTGAATAATACTTTCATTAAGCAAAGAAATGACGACAGTTTTTATAATTTGACTAAGCTGGTTTCTTGAAGGGGACATTTGACTATTTGGGGCCCTGAGCAGTTTCGATTTGAGTAACCATATATAAATAAATCAAAACCTCCATTGAATTCAACCAGACCTGTCGTCTAGACTCTAAAGCATTTGTCTAGCTCCTATGAAATAATTAATTTCTCATAGCCCATCATTGATAAAGAAAACAATGGTTATTTTAGAAAATAAATAAATCACGAAATTCAATATTATTTTCATGTTTGAAGAGGGGATCACATTTGAACGCCTTCATCTTGACTAACCAATTAATTAGCTAATTCAAATCTGAAACAACCCCTATTTCGGATTCAATCAGTGTTTGAAGCATCTGTATTACTATGAAAAATAATCAACTCCATACTCCATCCACGTGACCAATTAATGTAGCGTTTTTGTTACGCCAAGAAAGTCCATCAATTAATATAATAATTACTGCCAAAAGAAACAGATGAATCCTTTTATAAAGGAAAAAATTAAGTCGATCCAAAAAGGCGTACTATGTACATGAAAGAAATTTGACTAGACTGCAAATTTAAAAAAAAACAGAGAGAGTATTAGAAAAAATCTTTAAGGAAAAATTACATATATATTTCATAGAGTAGACTTATTTATAAATAATTTTCATAAAATTTAGAAATCACGGCCAGGTTTCTTGGGACCTAAATATAATTTAAAATTAAAGTATAAAGATAATAATACCCTTATTAAAAATATATTATAATAATCAAATAATTTATAATTACTTTATTAATAATTTACAATTATTACTTCAACTTTTTATAGCTATAATTTTAACTTTTTACATTATATATATAAAGTTACAGTAATAACAAATTAAAATGATAGTTGTAAATTAATATTTTTGATACCAGGCTGTTTTGTTTATTTATTTGATAATAGAACCCAGTGGTTCGTTATAAAGCCACGCCACCTCCTAAAAATTAATATTTTTCCATATTGTGGAAAAATAAAATTGAAAATTATTTATCAAATTTTAATTTTATTTCTAAAACTATTAAACATACAATAATCTAAAATTTAATATAAAACCAAATATAAAAGGGTAAAAGAAAAAAATCTAAAGATTTAATATAAAACCAAATATAAAAAGGTAGAAGAGCAAATTGACTCTTAAACTATAGGTTTAAGAGTGTTGAGGATTTTAAACTTATTTATAATGCAATATTTTTTTAACTTTTAAAAATGGTGAAATATGATCCTTGTTGTTGACAAAATTTGACTTTGACCGTTAATTTGATCACCAAAAAATGATAGAAAATGACTTCAAAAATTATAAAAAATGATCATAAAATTTTTATTGGCCATTTTTTGTAACTTTTGAGGTTCTTTTCTATTATTTTTTAGTTAACTAACGGTCAAAGTCAACTTTTATTAATACTATGGGCTAGATTGTATCATTTTAAAAAGCTGAAGAAAAATATTACAACAAAAATAAGTTTAATTAGGATTTCAGATGCTTCTAAATTTATGATTTAAAGATCAATTTGTTTTTCCATCTAATATAAAACATTGCTACTCTTAGAAGATGTAAAATGCAGGCAAGAAATGAAAAAAAAATATGGGAAAATTTGAAAAGATATTTTTCTCTTCAAAATATTAATCTCCATGTTTTTAAAATTTTACAGGGAAAGAAAAAGTTGTGGGGACATGAGCATTGTTATTGTCCATATTATTTCCCATCCGATGTCCTTTCCTACTCATTTTTCTTTCTTATTAGCTAGATATTAGGCAATAATATGATACAAATTTTTTTTTATTAGAAGTGCATTATAAATAAAACCAGATGGAATATATCACAAAAATTCTATCAAAAAAGAAATTATATCTTTTCTTTCAATAAATAGAAAGTTTATGCGATTGTTTTGAGGCTCTTCGAGGTCAGAAAATAAAAACATCTTATGGCTTAGTGTAATTTATGTACCAACAAAATTACATCAGCAGTTTGATTTGAATCCACATCATTCTGAGACATCAAGCTAACTTTTTATCAATTGGACCAATTTTATTGGATTAAAATATTATATATTTAATGATTGAATTTTTGTAGCATTGTTAACTTTTAAATTTCAATCAAAAAATAGGAAGAAAACGTAGATTAGAATTATATTTCAAGATTATGCATTAAATGTTGCAATTATCAGGAAATTTAATTTTTGGCTGAGTCATGCTAAAGAATATTGTCCTTAAGAGTTATTCCACCACATTAATTTGCTCCTATAACAACTCTCCAAGATTAAACAGATTCATCTTGCAAAATAGTCAGAGCCACATAATAGCAAAAAGTTATAAAAATTAACTCACACAACACAACTCAACATGAAGGAGAAGGAGAGAATTGTCTTGAAATCTCAAGAGCTAAGACTGAACTCATAGGGTATCTAGGTATTCATAGATTCAAAGCAACTGCACTTCCAGTTGGCCTTTATACACAATTAAGGAGCTGTTTTAAAAACCTAAAGCCACATAATGCGATTTTATTTCAGAGTTTCTAAATGTTGGCACTTTAAAACATTTAAGAAATTAGCCTTGGTTTTTTAAACCAGAAAACATCCTCTTGTTAATGGGCATTTAAAACATGGTTAAGGGATTTAAATTCTGAAACACCAAATTTAAAGATTTTCGGATAAGCATACTATACAAAATTAATTTTTCAATTTTGCAAAATTAAACCCGATAAAAAAAATCTAATGCCTCTTTAATTCAAGTGTCGAGAGGCAAATTAGCTATTTTCAATTACAAAAAGTAACAAACATTTATCTCATTTTAATGGTAGGGTCGAAATTGCTTTAAATTTAATTTTTTAGAGTTTAAAATATCCTAAATATAAGTTTATAATTCAAATCATCCTTGAAACTTATAGTTCAAGGTCCAAATTACCATTTAACCCAAATATAAATATTATTTTACTTATTAAATTTTATTTATTCACCCCTTTAAGGATTATATATGTGAAAATTATTTGTGTGATAAATCACTTCTAAGAAATATTAACTAATCTCACTCACTGAAATATTTTTCTTAATCTCTCATTCAGAGAACCACATCTCTCTTGACGTTACTTTTTGCTCATGTGAACCATTCATTGGTGATCTTTCTTTTTCAAAGGTTATTAGATACATTAATTTTCTATACGTGTGGAATTCGCAAGTGAGCTACACCATTTAACAATAATAAATAATTTAAACTATAACAAGAGCCCCACTCTCCTGACTTTTCTATTTATATTTTATGAGACTGTTATAATGCAAGGGAGGTATGGGAAAAATTGGTTAATTCTTCCAAACATAATATTTTCTTTTCGCTTCATGTGTAGGATTAGATATTACGGAATGCCAAAAATAAAGTAGGAAGTTTGTCTATACGAAGATTGCCCTGAAAGAAACTTTTGCCTAAGCCTGTTGGAACATTTGAAAATCTAGATGCAACAAAGTTTACTCTAAAGATGATAGCTTGAACAACAATATTGCTTTCTCCAGTACACACCAAATTACCAACAACATGAAGCTTCAATCCAAACTTGACCTTTTGAATAAAATCGATACCAGACATGAAGCTAGATGGAGTCTTCCTAATCTTGGGTGGGCTAGACTGGATGTGGATGGCTTAATTAAACATAATGGTGTAGCTGCTTGTGGAGGACTTATCAAAGATAAAAAAGGTAACTGGATTAAGAGATTTTCTAAAAATTTAGGTTATCAACCTAGCACAGCAGCTGAATTTATAGGAATTCTAAGAGGGCTCAACATGTGTTGGGATGCTAAGATTTTCAGAATGAATGTTTACTTTGATTCTATATACAAAGACTTTGTCCCTCATTAATAGTAACTTCAATTATAGCCATCCTTTTTTAACAATTATTAGGAATATCAGAAGCATCACTATGAGGAACTGGGAGATCACATTTGATTATGTCTACAGAGAAGCCGGCTAGTGCGCCGATCTTCTAGTCCACAAGGCTTCAAGAGATCATTTTGAAATTAGCTTTTTTGATACACTACTAACGAACGGTAGAAGCCTATTGACTTCTGACACAACCTGAATTTTTGATTTGGATCTTCTTGCACGGTTTTACTATGGTTTTGTATTAAAAAAAAAAAAACTATAACAAGAGTGATCTGACCTTTTCGTTTATTTATTTGATAATAGAAGACTATTCATCCGATGGCTCATTATAAAGCCACGTCACTTCATCTTCTTCCACACGTCAACCACCCCCCGCCATTTTCATAGCTACAGATCATCATGGAGATTCAGTTCACATACTCCATCCTCTTCACTTTTTTGTGCTTCATCTTTATGATACACAAGCTTTCAACTTCTAAGAAATCCCTCAAAGCCCTACCCCCAGGACCATGGAGACTACCTCTCATAGGAAACCTTCATCAGATTGGATCACTACCCCACCGATCTCTTAGAGACCTTGCAACTAAGTTTGGACCCATAATGCACCTTCAACTGGGACAGATGTCCCACTTTGTAGTCTCTTCACCAGAAGTGGCGAAAGAGGTTTTGAAAACCCACGACATGATCTTCGCCAACAGACCCAGAATTTATGCCGGCGAAATCTTGGTTTATAATAGCACAGACATAGCCCTCTCTCCTTATGGAAACTATTGGAGGCAGCTTCGAAAGATTTGTACTTTAGAGCTTTTGTCTGCCAGGAGGGTCCAGACATTTAGAAGAATAAGGGAAGAGGCAATTTCTACGTTAGTGAAGGATATTTCTAAACATGTCGGTTCTGTCATGAATCTCTCCCAGAAACTCTACCCACTCACGAGTTCCATAATTGCTCAAGCAGCCTTTGGTCGAAAGACCGAAAACATAGAAGATTTTACGCCGACTATAATGTATATGATAGAGCTTGCAGGTGGCTTTTCAATCTATGATCTCTATCCTTCGTTGGAATTCCTTCGTGCGCTTAGTGGGATGAAAGCTAAAGTCGAAAAAGCTCGTCAAGATATTGATAGGATGCTTAGCAATATCATCAGCGACCACTTGGAAAAGAAGGAAGGCAATATGGGAGAAGCAGAGGAGGATCTCGTTGATGTTCTTCTCAGGATTCAGGAGGAGAATGACCTTGAAATCCCCTTGACTCTCGACAACATCAAAGCTGTCATCCTGGTCAGTCTTATAAGTTTATAATACATATTCTCTCTCTCTCTCTCTCTCTATCAGATCATCATAACTATTTATTAATACCATCTCCTATCGCTTCATTTTCCAATAATTTTCACTTTAGACTGTAGTTTTGTTTCCAAAAGATTGTGACTTTAATTTAGAACTTTAATGAAGCGCTAATTGTGTTTTTGTACCATTTTGCCCTCATGTTAATGAAATAGAGACTGACTACTTAATCATTGAGCCGATATTTTTTTAGGACATGTTTCTTGGTGGAACTGAAACAGCAGCAACAACAACAGAGTGGGCAATGGCAGAAATGGCAAAACACCCAGAGGTAATGAAGAAGGCACGAGAAGAAGTAAGAAGAGTCTATGGAAAAAAAGGATACGTGGATGAATCAGAACTTCATCAGTTGAAATATGTAACTGCAGTCATTCTTGAAACTTTAAGGTTACACCCACCTCTCGTTTTGTTACTCCCAAGGGAGAACAGCGAGATATGTCAAATCAACGGCTATGAGGTACCTCCCAAGACAAAGGTTATCATCAATAGTTGGGCCATTGGAAGGCATCCTGAGCATTGGAATGAAGCTGAGAAGTTTCGACCTGAGAGGTTTATTGACAACTCAATCGATTTCAAAGGAACCAACTTTGAGTTTATTCCATTTGGCGCAGGAAGGAGGATTTGTCCTGGCATATCGTTTGCTTTCCCAATTTTAGAACTGATGGCTGCAAATCTGCTTTATCATTTTGATTGGAAGCTTCCTGATGAGCAAAATCATGAAGAGTTGGACATGACTGAGCACTTTGGTGCTGTAGTAAGAAGGAAGAATGACCTGTGTCTAGTTCCCATTGCATGTCACCCTTAGCTTTATTATCCAAGTTGAATAATATAATCACTCAGCACTCACGTGCACTCCTTGTTACACACACTTTCAATTACCACTCCAGCAGTAAAATAAACAACTGTTTTTATAATGTGACCATTATATTATATTAAGGTGACATTTGGTTCCTGGAAGAGGAGGTAATGGAAAAAAATGGAATGATGGAAAATGGAAAGGAATGGAATGATCATGACTACAAATTTGCTTGGTGGAATATTTAACTACGTCGAAATAGAGTTTATTTATATCATTTTTTAAATATAAATTAAAATATAAAGACCATAATACCCTTACGATAATGAGGTAACAACTACCTTTTTCTTATCTTAATGAACTTGCTTTTTTTTTATTTTCGTTCAAAAGTTTTTTCAGAGATTTATGCATACCTACACGCATACATATATTAATGTGCTTAAATTTTTTTAAAATTTAAATTTTACTTTGTAAATGTAAAAATTAAGAAAGATATATAAATATGATACACAGGGAATCAAATTTAAAATTTGACTAAATTCAAAAAATTATTAAAAAATATTTTTATAAGATTAAAAATATTGTAAAGAGAAAATAATAAATAAAATTAAAAATAAAAAAGATGAGTGTAATTAACAGGACCATTTTGGTAAAAATATATTGGATTTAAGGTGGGTAACATGATTCTTCTCATTTTCAAAGGTTTCTCCATTCTTAAAAATATGATAATTTATATTTTCAAGAAGACCATTCCATATTTCTTACAAGCAACTAAGCATGGATGAGATAAGAAATAAAAATGGAGACATGATTATTATTTTATGAGCCAAGATTCCTGTAACAATTGGCCCAAAAAAGATTCCTGTAACAAACGGGTCTTAAGTGTTGGACCTCATTTTTTGGGCTAACTTGGACCTTTCTAATGAAAGTGACCATATATAGCAGTGGCGGGTATTTTTTTTAGGCACGATAAAAAAGGAGATAATTCTTTGGTGGTCCATTGAAAGGAACCGAAATGTTCACTAATTGGTTCATATGTATGCTGAGGGTTCGTAAACTTGTCGTAATTAAATCGAAATAAGTATTATTATGAAAAAAATCGAAATAAGTATTAAAAAAATAAATCAAAATGAAATAAATATATTAGTGAGTTCTCTCTTCACCAAACAGGTCAGCTATTTGAACAGAATATCGTCTTGGTCAGATATTCAACCAGATTAGATAAACAAATATGAATTACTATTGGATAACGTTTGGATTGATAAATTTAAATTTAAATTTTTAATTTAAGATTATGTATTTAAAATTATTTATTTGACTATTTAAAATTATTTATTTGACTATTGTGAAAAAAATTTAAAGATAGAAAAGAGATGAGCTTATATTCAAAGCAAAAAATAGAAGATTAGGGAAAAAAAGAGAGCTTATCTTTACTATTTAATCGGTGAGAGATGAGAGAAAAAGTAAGAACAATGGAGACATTAACATTGAAAACATGAAAAAAAAAATGAAAGAGTTAGAGTGGTTAAAATTTCAACTACCTAGAGTTCAGAGGAAAATTGAAATTAAGAAGTTATAAGAAAAATATCAAATCTAAAATCCATATACTTTTATATATTCAGATGAGAGATTTGGTTTAAATTCAAATTCAATGCATCACAAACCAATTAACATTAATTCATAGGAAAAGAATAACCGAGAAAATTTAATCAATATTTGACACTTAGAGGGGAGGTTAAAAGAAAATCCAATCATCGAAGCAAATTGATTTTGAGCCATGCAGGCAAAGTTTTAAGATCCCATGATAGATTACGCTTGCATGCTAGTTCCGACGTACGTGATATGTGTGAAGTCATAAAATTTTGACCAAATAATTAAATTAAAAACATAAACCAACATTTAAAAATAAAATAGTAAGTTACCTTTTTAAGGTTGTAGACTCATATTTTGATGGTTGCATCTCTTCTGGTCTTTTGTGCTCAGTCATAGTTCAAACTCTGGACTTGAACGATTCAGCCCTCTGGTTTGATGAGCAGAGTCGCATATGCAGAGAGAAAATAGTACTGTTTATGACTATGGATTGAAACAGTGGACTTTCAACGCACAAAACTGATTTACTTCCTGAAATAAAATATTATATATATTGTATTATTATTTAAAGATTTAAAGGGAGTGAAGAGGGGAGGAAGTAGCCAGGAACGTCATAAATTAGAAGCAAAGTTCATGGTGGGTGGTGACAGTCAAATACTTTGTCTTCCTCTCCAACCTTTTTGCCCTCTTTATAATCTGTTATGCACCTTTTTGCTCCTCTTGACCAACATTATGGTGATACTAAATGCTAGGGAAAATTCGTGACAAGGACTAGGAGGCTCAAATATTTGGGCAAAAGTCTTAAATGCAGAAATAAACTTTATTTTGTACTGATCTGTTCCGGAATCTTCAATCATATGTATTCTGGATTTCTGGTAGATGAGTGCAGAAAAAGGAAGGGTTTTTTTATTAATATTTTTGGTTTTTTAATACATTTGGAACTTATTTACGTCCAAGTATTTAAGCTTTTTGGTCCAAATGGCCAATTTTCCCTTAAGAATTTGAAGATAATACGGAGACAATGATCATTATATTATAATTAACCAAAAAAAAAAAAAAAAGGTGGGGCACCCCAAGGTAGCTTTCCATCCATTTCGGCCCACACAGATTTTATTCTTCTGTTTTATTCAATATAAGGCGCATCACGATACGTCTACAAATTAAAGAGGGGAGATATGCCAATTGGCGATTACATGCTATTGAGTAATAATTACATGAAATTAACTAATTGAAACTAAGGTTGCATTTAGATATGTAAATTTAAGTTAAAAATTTAAATTTAAAATTTTATATTGAAAATCTCATATTTAAAATTCATAAATTCTCAATTCTTTGTTTAGATGATATAAAAAATTTTAAATGATAATATTAAATTTTTCTATTTGGATTTAAAATAAAATTTTAAATTTTAAATTCTATATTTGAATGTAAAAGAAAGTTAAAAAATTGGCTAAAATTGACGGTCCGAATGGCTAACTTCCACTAATATTAGACAGTTAAAGCTGATTGGGATAATAGCACCGGTGATGATGGGGACGAGACAGCTGACTTCTATCAAGATTAAATGACAACAATAACAAGGATTGAACGATAGACTTCTACAGGGATCGGACAGACGGCGACCATGGGGAAGGGACGATCGACTTCCACTAGGACCGGATCGATCGCAACCACTTGGACTAAATGGCCAACTTCTATATGGACCAGACTGATGGAGATCACTGAGCAGGGGCGGCCGACTTTCACAGGGACGGGATGGCTGACTTTTATTGAGACCAAACTAATGATGACAATGGGAATCGGAGGGTCAACTTCCATCGGGATTGGAAGGCTGACTTCTACAGGGACTAGACTGAAAGCGATGACCAAAACCAGATGGCCAACTTTCATCGAGAGCAGACATATGACAATGATGGCGATCGAATAGTCAATTTCCACAGGGACCGAACTGATAGCAACCATCAAGGCAGGATAGCTGACTTTCACCAGGACCAACCATATGGCGATGATGGGAATCAACTAGTTGACTGGATCGATAGTGACAACAGAGACTAGACAACCTATTTTAATAGGGATTAGATAGACAGTGACCATCAAGGTTGGACAACCAACTTCTAACGAGACTGGATTGATGGCAACCATCGCGACTAGACTGACAGCGACCTCAGGATCAAATAGATGGCGACCACCTAGACTGAACGTTTGACTTCCTTCGGGATCATACTGATGAAGATGACAAGGATCAGACAGCAGACTTACTGAGATTAGACGACCAACTTCTATTGAGATTGAACCTAGTAAAAGTTGGCCGTCGAGTCTTCATCGTCATCATCGATATGATCCCTGTGGAAGTTAGCTATTTAGTTCCTGTGGTTGCTATCGGTTCAGTCTTGATGGAAATTGACCTTCCAATCTTGATGGTTGCTATTGGTCTGGTCTCGATAAAAGTTGGCTATCCAGTCTAGGTGGTCTCTGTCGGTCTGGTCTCGATGGAAGTAGGCTGTTCATTCTTGGTGGTTGCTGTCGGTCCAATCTAGTGGAAGTCGGTCGTCTGATCCCAATCTTTACTATTGGTCTAATTTTAGGGGAAGTCAGCTGTTTGGTCTTTGTAGTCGCCATCCATTCAGTCCCAATGGTTTATCCAGTCTTATTGAAAGTTAGTCGTCCTGCCCTAGTGGTCACCGTCGGTCCAGTCCTTATAGAAATTGGCTGTTTGGTTGTCGTTGTTGTTGTCTATTCGATCTCGGTGAAAGTCGATCATCCAATCTTGTAGAAGTTGACCTTCGGTCCCTATCTTCTTCATCAGTTTGGTCTTGGTAGAAGTTGGCCATCCAATCCCAGTAGTGGCCGTTAGTTTGGTCCTAATGAAAGTCAATCGTCTGATCTCGATGGTTGCGTCAGTCTTATCCCATTAAAAGTTGGTCGTCCAGTCCTAGTTAATGGTGGCGGCTTGTTTCTGTCAACTTCGACGGTCCAGTCCAATTACTGTTAGCGGGTTGATTAACCTTTATGGATTTGGGTCAAATTACAAAAGAGATTAAGTTAGGATTTGAAATAACATGGGGTTTAGAAAAGATTTCAAATTATAAAGAGATTGAGGTAAAACTTGAATTTGAATTTGGGTCAAATTCAAATTCATACATGTTTAATTTCCAAAACAATAGATTTGACTCAAATCCAAATTCATATGTATCCAAATATAGCGTAAAGTTTTTAAGGACTTTTGTGTATATGAATTCTAAAATTAAAAGATCATTTTACCTTTATTGAAAATAACAAGCTCTAATCACAACTTTTACTTAAAAAATAACTTTTGTTCTATAAATCACAAGAATTAAATAAGAAATCATAAGAATTGAATAAGGAATAACATCTTTTTTATTAAGGAATAACATCTTTTGTTTTATAAATCGTAAGAATTGACTAAAAAATTACAACTTATCAAGTGTAATTTTTATTACTAAAAAACAAGCTTTGAAAATAACAAAGGGAAAATCACAATTAAGGACTCTCTAAGAACATTAATCACTATTAAAGATCATAACATTTTGAAAT